AGCAACCTCCAACTCCTGGGCTCAAGTGATCCTTTTGCCTCAGTTTTTCTATTTTTAGTAGAGACAGAGCATTGCTTTTGCTCAGGCTGGTCTTGAACTGCTGAGCTCAAGCAATCCACCCGCCTTGGCCTCCCAAAGTGCTAGGATTATAGGAGTGAGCCACTGCGCCCAGTCAAGCTTGTTTTTAAGAACTATTCTTGAGAATAGAAAGTCAAGTGGTGTCACCTCTGGTGCTGTTTTAGTTTCCTGAATGCAGCCAGGGGATCACTAGGGAGGATAGCACACAGGTGCCACCCAACCTGGAAGTGCTGCAGACCCAGTGGCGGCAGAGGGATAAAGAAGGAAGAGCCTCTTCTGGCCTCTCAGGTATTAATCAATCTACTACGTGTTGCTGAAACATGACCCACTACATGTATCTCTATGTGCTTAAGCAGCATTTCATGCTGGGTATCACAATAAACCATCATGGGAAAGAGATACAGAAAATCATGTTAGTCTGTGCTAAGTAAGTGTGTGCTGAATTAAAGGAAGAACAAACAACTCGAAGGACACTCCCTGCTTGGCTTTTAACAGTCTTTGGGACTCCAAAGTAAGCCTCATTTAATTGTGGTAAATTTAATTCCCTTATCTGTCCCGACCTCTTCCAGTGATAAAATCATATTATATCATTACAACACCACAAAAATTCTGACAGAATTTAAGGTTTCATACTCACTTTGGATTCAGCTTTCCCAGCTGGCAAAAACTCCATTTCAAAAACTGGATTATCATGGTGGCCAACAATTACAAAGTAGAAGCTTCCAGACATTGTTTTCAATATATGGCTTCTAGTTAATAAAATGAAAAATAATACATATATTTTAGTACTCAATACTGAAATTCAAAAATGACTAACAAGAAGTCTCGAATTCTTTTTTTTTCCACTTAAACCTGATAGTGTAGAGGAGGATGCCACTGAATTTGGCATGCCTCCCAGAATACTACATGCTTGTTTTTTGGACTAAATAAATTATATATCTGTGATATGTCCTATAGAATCCAATGCATTATATTTTCACAGGGAAAATGGAAGACCTCTGATATGAAATCATAAACACAACATCCTCACCATCTGAAAGTTTGGAACATTTAGCTCAAGGGTCCCTGTGTACCTGGGGGAATAAGCTGGGTTTAACTTGGACTGGGGTTAGTGCCAGCACTGACATCTGGAAAAATTAATTAAGTTAATTAATTAGAGGGTGCCAGTAAATACAACCGACAGTGGTAAGAAGGCAAAGGAAGTGATTGCCTTAGAAATTTCCAGGAGACATCCTTCAGAGGAAGCTAGAACCAACTCTACCTCACATCGTCTACACAGAAACGAGAAACTAGCATTTACCTGCAGACTGTGTGCTGTATTTCTCTTCCTTCTACCTGAAGTATGTGTGCTATAAATCTAAGTCTCTGCAATGTAAGAGCCAATGACATGCCTGTCCATACATCTATATAAGGAAGGAATGAAATGGTTTTGTATTTTAGAAAAGATGGAAGAAAGAATCCCAAAAGGAAGACATTTTGAGAAACTGAGAGGTCTGGAACTAAGGTTAGCAGGTTGCCTAAAGAAATAAAACTATGAGAAACTGGGGGGAAATGTCAGTGATTCCATGGCTTTTAGCCCAGATCACTGAAATCTCAATGGGTAGATGGATGGATGGACAGCTGGAAGGATGGATGACAGATAGGTGGATTTATGTATGCATGTGTTTTTAGCACAAGGGCTTTGGAGTCTGACAAAGCCAGGTTTGAGTCTAGTTCTGCCATTCAGCGGCCAGGTAATGAGACCAAGGCAGTCAGCGGCTGAGTTTGTCATCTGTGAAACCTGTGGCTACTTTATGGTGCTCTTAGGAGGATTACACAATCTAATGCATGCCAGGCACCTGGCACAGTGTGTGGCTCACAGTAAGTGCTCAATAAATATTATCTAGAATGATGTGGAAGGTCATACACACAGTGGCATGGGGCAAATAGAAAATTCACAAGATGAGGTAGAAATCTAGCTAACTGGGAGCACACGGTCAATCTCCTGGAATACACATCTGAGGTATTCCAAGAGACTCATCAAGCCTCACTGGGCCTCCACTGAGTCACACCGAACATGGAATGAAATCAGAAGAAATCTGAAATGTATTTCTTACAAGAATGACACATTTTGTACAGGAAACCAGGGCACAGCTGGCACTTTTAACTCTAGAACTGGAAAGCTATTACTATGGTAGAAAAGGCAGATAGGACACTCTTGGCATAATGAAATACAATGTTTAAAATGTTATTTGGGGCAGGGGGTGGCACACTGCAGACTGTAGGCCCAATTCAGCCTGGTTCTCTCACTGCCTTCTAAGCCTGCTTTCAAGTGGCAGAACTGAGAGGCTGTGACAGAGACCATCTGGACCACAGAGCCCAACATACAGCAGCACCTCCATAGTTGATCACTTTTACACTGACCACCTCCTCAAGCTGACCTAATTTTCACAGACCAAACATGCACCACATGTAGATAGATATCAGTACAGTAGGCCTAGTTCCTCATGCTGACCACCTCTGTGTGTTGACCAGTTTGGTACAGTCCCTTGGGTGGTCAACTTACAGAAGTGCTACTGTATTTATTATCTGGCTTTGTACAGAAAAATATTTGCTCCTGTTTTAGGAGAAAGATTAGAAAAAGGTCCAAATAGTAAAAGTGGATAACAAAGACAAGCTGTGCAAAACTAGGACAATTGGCAATAATTCTCCAGAGAAAGCAGGGGAAGAGGGATGACGACTGGAAATTTGGATGAAGTAAACAATGATATCACGAATTCTTCTGCACTAGGTTTCAAAGCTGGAGTGTGCCAAGGGAAGAGGGCTTACTTTGTTCAGCATAAATAGCAGAAGCACCAGAAGGAAATATACATATAAGGAAGATAACCCCCCCACACCCCCACCAACACACACACTCCTCCATGACCGGGCAAGCAGCACAGTGCTGAGCACAGCAGGCAGACAGATGGAAAGGGAACTGAAAGAACCACGGACTGACCCACAGGTGCTGTTACTATCTACTCAGCTGGGCAGAGGAGAGACAGAGCTCTCTTTATTATATACATTCCGCCCTTGACTTGAGCTGCCAATAACTTGATTTGGCAAACAGCTAATGAAGCAAGAAGGGCTGTAACTCTTCATTCAATTCGGCCAAGGAAAAACTGACAGGTGAAGAGGAAGAACTGAAAACCCTGGGAGAAAATGACCCTGTTGTCTTAGGAAGGGAACAGCTGCAATCACTTAGCAAATATTTGATATGGCGCAAAGGTGAAGCACTCTAGAATTCCACCCTCTACAACCTGTGGAGAACTTCCGTGAGGATGGAAATGTTCTATACCTGTGCTGTCCAACCTTGGAACCAGTGAACACTTGAAATGTGGTTAGTGAGGACTGGATTTTTAATTTTAATTTCATTAAACACAAATAGGTACATGTGGCTAGTGGCTATAGTATTGGACAGTGAAGCTTTAGGTTAGTGTTTCCAAACTTTTTACAAAACTTTGCGTCCTCCACCTTCTTTCCACCCACAAATTACTTAGAATTACAAATAGAATACAAATACAGCAACCGCTGTGACTGAAGCGCCTGTGGTAGCATGAGTGTGTGTGTGCCTGCTCCATTTTCCCGTCACCTTTACATAGGGACCCCTGAAGCATCTTCAAGGAAGGCTTGGTCTAGAGGTGGTGGGGAGGTAGTTCCACAGAATTTGGAAATAGATTAAACTGGGAAATTACGACAAGAGAAGGATCTACGATGGTCTCCAAATGTCTGGCCGAGATGAACAACTTGAATAAGTGGCCCCTTTCCCAAGATGTCCACGGGCTAATCTCTGGAATCTGTGCATATGTTAGGGTTCATGGTAAAGAAGAACCCAGGCTCCTTATTCCCAGAAGGAATAAGGCTGCTCATCAGCTGACCTTAATATAGAAGATGTGCTTGGATCATCCAGGTGGGCCCAATGTAATTACAAGGGTCCTTAAAAGCAGAAGGAACTAAAGGAGGAAAGTCGGGGGGAAGTGTGGCTGTAGAAGGATGGTGATGGTAGAGGTGCTGCTGATGGCTTTGAAAATGGAGGAAGGGGCCTCTACAGGCTGGAAAGCAGAGGGAAACAGATTCTCCCCAAGGAACGCAGCCTTGCAGACACCTAGGTCTTAGCCCGAGACCTGTGTCACCATCTTTGCTACAGAACTGTAAGATAATATGTTTGTGTTGTATTTGGCCGCTAAATTTGTAGCAGTTCGTTACAGCAGCAGTAAGGAACACACGTCGAAGCTGGAAAACACACAGGTAGGAAGGAAATACTCGAGGCGGTGTCAGCACATGACTGGGAGGGTGCATTCTACCAAGAGACCAAGGACAAAAGGGAGTTCTCTGACCCTGGGGCACTGTGGAAAAGGTCTTGCAGGGAAGCAGTGATGTGTTAAGATGAAGATAATCAGGAGCAATGAGGGGATGACAATATGCAAAGGAATAGTGGCTGTGTTTTTTCCAGAATGCATTTCTAACACAGGTTGGTATGCAATAAGTGCTCAATGCTTGCAAAATGGGACTCCAGTGAGGAGGGGGGGTGTAGGTTGGACAGTGTTAGTAGGTGGTGATACTGGAATGCAAGGATGAGACATGGTGGAGTTTCAGTGTTCAGCGGCTTCAGCACTGCATAGAACACCTCCTGAAAGCCCCAGTGCTGAGGCCCTAGAGCAGTGTTTTTCAACGTTTTTTATCTCACGGCACAGTAACGTATAGTTAAACTTCCACAGCACACTTAAATTATGCTGATTAAACAGAATATGCTTACTGTGCTTTGAACTTCTTTCGAAAATCATTAGTCTTTAAAAATTTTTGCGGCACATCAGTTGAAAATCACTGCCCTAGAGGCCTGACGCTGGAGTCTGTGTTCAGGTGGTCCACAGCACCTTCATGAGAAGCTGCTGGAGTTTGTTGAGGTACCTACGAAGAAATCCTTCATGACAGGGACTGACTGGACTTGCTGGTTGATGAGAGGGGAGCCAGGACTCTCATTTGTGGTTTAACAGCAGCTGTCCCTGATGACTGGGACAACTTGGGCTTCTTCTGAGAGGGAGACAACTATAGAAATCAACCTGGTGATAATGAGGAGCTTCTCTGACTACTTTCAACTTAAGGAGGACACATACAAGATGGAATAAGACACTAGTAACATTAAAAAGGGACCACAAACATGTGAGGCTAACGTGAGAAGGGCAAAAACCCACAATGAGCTGAAGTGTGTGAAATATGCTTAAAACAAAAGACTTTAGACTATTTTAGGAAAAAGCAGGGGCGAAAGGTGAACTGCTTCAGTGCTTGGCACACACTGAAATAACAGGGCACAGATCTGATGAAACTTCTGTTTTTTTGTTGAGAACAACTCTCTGTGAGCATAGAAGAAACCAGGTTAGGCAGGCTGTGAACCTCAAGATAAGTCCATTAAGAAAACATTTAGACGTTCCAATAAATCCACGTCTTTGGGTCCTGGCAAATTACATAATCAAATGCAATTGTGTAACTACTGACCAGTGACATGAGAAACAGCAAGAAAAATGCCATACCATGAGAGATAGGTTAATGTTATTCTTGCTTTCAGAAACAGGCAACAGGACTGTAGATCTTAGTCTATAACTCTGTACATTTAAAGAGACTAAAATACTAAGAGAAATATATTAAATGTCTGTTTTAGTCAGACACCATACTAAACACTTCTATTAAACGTTAACTTATTTAATGTGAATCCCTAGACAAAAATAATTGTTATTCATTCACATACTCCTAGTTATACTGACAACAAGTCATGCCAAACTTCAATTTTCTATTTTGGAAGGGAAATATTGTAGGTAGACATAAGTCATTTTATGAAGTATTTTGGTATCTACCTAAGAACCTGGAGACCTGCAGCCTGAGGGACAATACAGTCTTGCTAGAGTGGTGCTCTCCATGACAGCAGATATACTATTCATCTCGTTCATTGTGTTATCCTAAGAGCTACAACAGTGCCAGGGGCCCATAAGCACCCATTATTCGCTGAATGAGGTACAGCTCGTGGCTGACTTGAGTGTCAATAGACAAGGTATATTGGGTGTTCCATGTCAATTTATGGTATGGGGTCTCTAGAGAGGCTTTGAGGTTGACCTTAACCTAGTCCAGCTCAGCATTTGAATCAATAACTTGGATGAAGACAACTTATTACATTCAAAGATAACACTAAGGGCAGCCAATTTATTAGAAGACAAAAGTTAGGATTCAAAAACATCTCCACAGCTAGGGGAATTAGGTGAATTTAATAAGATAGAATTTAAGACGATGAGAAAGAGTCCTGTACTTGGGCTTAGAAAAAAAAAAACAACTGGGCCGGGTGCAGTGGCCCATACCTGTAATTCCAGAACTTTGGGATGCTGAAGCTGGAGGATAGCTTGAGGCTAGGAGTCTTGAGACCAGCCTGGGCATAGCTGGGATGGCAAGACCCATTTCTACCAAAAATTAAAATCAAAGCCAGATGTGATAGCATGCACGTATAGTCTTACCCACTTGGAAGGGTGAGGGAGGAGGGGCACATGAGCCCAGGACTTCAAGGCTGTAGTGAGCTATGACTGTACCACTGCACTCCAGCCTGGGTTAGAGGAAACTAAAAATGTGTATAAGGGGTGGCTGGAAGATCACCAGGGGCAGAGTAGGAGAATGAAGTGAATGAACTTAGAACACCTTTCCAACTAGAGGGTTTTAAGTTGCAGGCAAAGACAAAACTCATGGACTCCAGTTCCAAAGCAACCCATCTATATAGCAAACCTTTTTACAGAGTCTACAGAGGAACTTCCAGGTAAGTTGCCTTTTGCTCCCAACTGCAGTGCTTTCAGTTGTTTCGCAGACCTAGGGCTGCAAGACTAAACTGGTGTGGCATGGGATGTGTCTAATGCAATGCGCAGGAATATGAATACTATTGATAGGTCTCTACTGGGACATTTTCCAATGAATATTAGAAGTAATTTCCTTACCCCCTAAGTGAAGTTATACTGGTTTTGGGGAACATTTTATCTAATTCAACTTCAGGACCAAAGGTGGGGGTAACAGTGAGGGGGTCTTCAGGTACAGATGCTTGCTTTTTAACAGTGGCCAAGTGATTCTACTTTTAAACAGCATTTACAACATCTTTTTAAAACACTGTTTGCATCATATCGCTATTCTCAAAATCCTTAATGCTTCTCAGCAACAGAATCACATACTAGTATTCAAAAGGGATTCCCACGTGCTCCACACTTCTTTTCTCAACCTTTTCCACCTCTGCTGGAGTTACTTGGCTACTTTGTCTCTCTCAAAATCACTTTGTATCCGCGTCAGGGTTACTGTTATTATTTCTCTCTTCATGCCTGGAATGTTCCCCCTGATTCTCTGTGCAACCCTTACCTATCATTTAAAGCCAACTAAGTCTCTCCTCCACAATGATTTCTAACAAACCCCCACAGGGCTCTCTCCCTCTATGAAACCGTCACTCTCACTGCCTGTTACATACGTTAAGCTTTTCATGGCCAGAGGGCAAAACTCATTGTATTCTTCAGTGGTGTGCATGAAACTGACACTGATCCAATTTTGTCCTATTAGGACATAGATACCTTATATCCCCAGTGCACAACTCCGGAGTCAGGTCAGATTCCTCTTTGTTACCAAGAGGGTCCTGACTTAGGTTTTATTCCTTTGCTCATTTCCCCCCCTTTCTATGATTGTTCTCCTTTTTGCCCAGCACGCAAATCCTACCCATCAAGTCCCCGATAAAGCCAAACTTTTCCTACGGAGATAAACTCGATCACTTCCCTCTCCAAACACCTTTTCTTTATCTAAACTCCTAATGCAGTGTACGACTCCACCTTAGTTCTTGTTTAATTCCTTGGCTGTAACGTTTTCACTATTTTGGAGATTTGGTGCCTTTTCTAACTAACTGAAGGATCTTGGGTGCTGGCTCACCTTTCCCCACAACATACAATGGTACTCTAAAGTTTAGCTCTGTAGTTTTCAACCGGGGGCGATTTTTGCCTCCCAGAGGTCCTAAGGCAGTGGTAGGCGCCATTTTGGGCTGTCACACTTGGGGGAAGGATGCGCTACAGGCGCTCGGTAGAGACCAGGGATGCTGCTAAATCTCCCACAATAAAGAACCTTCAAGCTCCAGATGGCTTTAGTGCCATGGCTAATAAACCCTGAGTTAGCTGAATGGTTCAGTTAAGCAAAGTCCCTGAGACGGTGGGCGTTTGCAGTCGAAACGCAGTGTGGAATCACCGACAGGTGCTGTCCGGGTCTGGCACCGCTGTCCCGGTAAGGCACCGCTGTCCCGGTAAGGGGTGGATGTACACGACCGACATCCCAGTTACGCGGGGGCGGGGACGTACCGCCGGGACCTGGAGCCTCCGCCCACCCCCTACTTGCTTCATTCCCTACCTGCAGGGAGACGCAGACAACGGAAACGCCCAGTCCGTTCCTGCCGTAGAGACCCACTCTCCGCAGCTTCAGTTGGGACTCCTGGAGCAGTTCTCGCGAGACTCCGCCGTTGAACTCCCGCGAGATGCCGGCGAAGCTTCCGGTCGCCCGGTGCAGCCCAGCGCCTGCGCCGTAGCGCTTTAGGTACCGGTTCCTCGGCTGGGCCGGCCTCAGGGAAGGGCGGGAGAATTCCGAGCGGTGAAAACACCGTCTGGCGCTCGGTGTCTCCCGGTCTCTGCCCTCTAGCCGACTTTGAGGGTAGCGCCTCGGTCACGGCACCGCCCACCCCTCTGAACTGGGGAGAAAGAAACTGGGCGGCATTACCAGAGTTTCTAGTTCGGAGTGGGAGGCAAGGGGTTCAGCACCTTTGTTCCTCCCGACCCCCCGGGACAGTGGCAGGGCTCTGAGGACAATGTTTCCCCCTTTGTCTTAGGCCTCCAGCGTGAGCTGGGCCTCGAATTTGAGTCACAGTAGGGCCGTCCGGGCGGGCTCGGAAGGAAACTGATACCTGACAATGGCTCAGGTAGATACATACCCCTGCCCCTTCTCAGGGACGGGCGGAAATGAAGTCTCTGATTTGTGTTCGTTAAATCTCCCTGCTAGGCCTCTTAAGGCTTTCCTGGAGGCCACTGGTCCGTTTTCAGAAATTGACATTCCCTCTGTCGGCCAGGTAACGCGTAACCATTTTGTCTTCCAGTCCACCCTGGACTTGAATTGTGAGGTGTTGAGTCAAGATGACCTTCGCAAAAAGCTGTACCAGACGTTTAAGGATCGGGGTATACTGGACACCCTCAAGGTATCAGATTTTAGTAACTGTATCATAACTTTTGCAACTGTAACCTTAAGTTACAAATATGTTACAAGTAGGCCACATTTAAATTCATTCAGGGCTTGGGTTTTAGCGATAGCATATGTATAGTGTTGGCGAATTACGTTTTTCTTGTATAACTATCGGGAAATAATAAAGTCTGGAAAATGTTTGAGAGGATGTTAAATTTGAGTCGTCCTGAAAGAGCATTTTATTTATTTACTTCAGTTTTTTTGGCCGGGGCCGGGTTTGAACCCACTGCCTCTGGTATATGGGGCTGGCACCCTACTCTTGAGCCACAGGTGCCGCCCAAGAGCATTTTTGATTAATTGAACTGACTTTAAGATACTGGGAAATATATAATGAACATATTTTAGTAAGATTATACTTTTCAAAAATCTGGCTTACAGGTTCTTAAATTAATAAGTGGTTTTGTAATACGTTTGGACATTGACACCATACAAAAAATAATTAAGCTTACCTACCGTACACTAGTTTGGGGAATGAAAAATTTCTTCTTTAAGATATATTGAGATGTATGAATATTTAATTTGGGCAGCAAATATTTATTAACATACTTTGTTTAGATTAACAGCCTGGAGTCAGATTAGCTCAACATATTTTCATTATGGTATACATTTCAAAAGCATATTTTACATTTAAAATGGGAAATTAAGGAAGAATTAGCTTGATTGGTCTCTACCCCTTCCCTATTGCTTTTGTAACTTCGTAAAAAATATTTCAAACTCATCTGAAAAATACAGATAAAGCATAAGGGAGAAAAATCACCTCTAATACAGCCACTAATTGGAATATGTACATAGTGTGTGTCCAGGCAATCTCTGAGTTACAAACTTCTGACTGACATGGGACTCACCCTTATAAATGGAGACTATTTATAGTCTCACCCTTATAAATGGAGACTATTACAAGTAATAGGCAAATGTACCTGTTCTAACTTATCTCTGAGTTACAAACTTCTGACTGACATGGGACTCACCCTTATAAATGGAGACTATTTATAGTCTCACCCTTATAAATGGAGACTATTACAAGTAATAGGCAAATGTACCTGTTCTAACTTATCTACAAATTCGACTTAAGAATAAACCTACAGAACCTATCTTGTTTGTAACTGAGGGACTGCCTGTATACCCTTTTTAAATTTAAATTATATGATGAGCATTTCCCTGTTGCCTTAAAAATTTCTTGGAATCTCCTCATTTTTCAATGTCAGCAGGCCCATCTTTTGACTATATGGATAATATATGTAGTAGGCCACTGTTGTTGAAGATTTCAGTTATATCCTCCAACAGTCCAGAGTTGTGAGGAAGTGGCAAAATTTTTTCCTGTCCTTGATATCCTGATCATCACTTCCCTAGGAGCACAAGTTGCCAAAATGTGCTCCTAGGGAAGTGAAGTAAGGAATCTACAAGGGATCTGCCAGGCTACCAGTTCACTCGGAAGGTGAGGAAAGAAAGCTTTTCTGGAACTCACCGGACTGCTTGTCTTTTGGCCATGGATCTAGAACCATTCTGGAAATAAAAGGAAGGATTCCAGTGAATGTGACAAATTTGTATACCTCTCTAGTGAAACAATCCTGCTGAAATTTTTTCCCCTTGTGTGTGTTTGTTGATCCAGACACAACTCAGAAACCACCTAATTCATGAGCTGATTCACCCTGCATTGGGGGGAGAACTGCAACCTCGGTCCAATTCAGTAGAAGAGTGCTCTCTCTTAGCAGGCGCCTCTAACTCTCTAGTGGCAAATCACCTACAAAGATGTGGCTATGAATATTCCCTTTCTGTTTTTGTTCCAGAAAGTGGTTTGGAAAAAGAAAAGGTAAAGTCTTTCCTCTTCTGTTTTTGAAAAGGAAAAGTTTTCTATTAATTTTTTCCCTCTGATAATTGTAAAGTGCTGCTTGATTGCTAAGTGCTCCCTGACTGACTTGATCCATTTTTCATTGATCTTAGAATTCACAACATATCTGCACATATTATATTTGTTATGTAACTGAGGGGTGCTAAATTTGCTGATCATTCCTTGGTATCTCACTTAGTCTTTTGTGAAATAGTGATACGTAGAATCACTAAATGTTTTGGAGCTAGAATTGATCATACATTCCATGTAGTGAAATGAAACTACCATTTCTGTTTAATATCTGCTCTGAGGTTGGTACTGGGTTAGGCATAATACAGGTGTTTCATGTGTTTCAGATGAGGAGAGGTGAAGTGATTTGCCCAAGGTCATATAACTTAAGTGGCAATAAAGGGCAATGAATCTAGATCTCTAAAATGTGCACTTTTTACTGTGTTACAGTGTCTTAAAGTATTTCTTTTTGTAATAACATGAGAAGTGAGAAATACGTGATTTTAAAAAATCTAAAGTTCTTAAATATTAAGACTTTTTTACCACTTTTCTAATTATTTTAACTATATATTCTTCACCATTATTGTTGAACATAATAATCCCACTTTATTTTAAAGGTATCTATCATAAATGTTTCCTGTGTTTGTGTATATGGGTGTGTATGTGTTTAATAGACTATTTTTTCAGAGCAGTTTTGAATTCACAGCAAAGTTGAGTAAAAAGTACAGAGTTCCCATATACCCCTGCCCCCAGTCCCACATACAGCCTATTCCATTATGGACTTTTTTTTTATTTTTTATTTTTTTATTTTTTTTTCCATTATGGACATTTTGAATCAAAGTGGAACATTTGATATATTTGAACCTATACTGACATGTCACATGTCATTAGCACCCTGAAGTCCATAATATTTACATTAAGGTTTACTCTTGATGGTGGTCCTATGTTTTTATCCCGTTTTATTTATAAGTATCCCAAAGATTTATATTCAAAGCATTAAGGATACAAGAATGTTAGTACAATTTAAATATGCTGTATTTCTTCTTTAACAACTAAATTTTATTTATCTATATTAGGAATTCAATTTTGGCACATCATTCTCTAGCTTTCTTTTCTTCTTTTTTTTTTTTT